CTGAGAGCCTCCCACCGGCCAGTACGCTCCCACAGAGAGGGGCTCCTCCGGGTGCTGTCGGCCAAATAATGTTGACTAGTGCCCCCCAGGGGGAGAGCTTTCTCTGTGGGAGCACCTGCCCTCTGGAACGAGCTCCCCCCGGAGATACAGACGATTCCAGATCTACGTACTTTCCGTCGGGCCCTCAAAACTTTTTTATTTCATCATGCCAGGCTGGCCTAACTTTCCAATGGTGTAATTTTAATTTGAATTTTAAATGGGGGATTTTAACTGTCGGGCCAAATTGTTTAATATATTTTTAAATTGTTTTTAAATTTTGTATTCTATGTTTTTTACCTATGGCTGTTCACCACCCTGAGTCCTTCGGGAGAAGGGTGGTATATAAATTTAAATATTAAATTAAATTAAGAGCTTACCTCTTGTGATGATACATTTAACACCACGGACAACAACATCTGCCCATCCCAGATCTTTGGGAAGGTGGATAAAAATGCCAAATCTAGTCTAAATATCTGGCTGACTGTGTGATGAACAATAATAATAAGCAAAAATAAATAAATAAATAAACTGAAAACAGAAAATGACTGTGGCAAAAGAAAGCAGAGATAGTACCTTGTTTCCCCCAAAATAAGACATCCCCTGATAATAAGCCCAATCGGGCTTTTGAGCGCAAGGCAATAAGGCAAAGTGCTTATTTCAGGGTTCAAAAAAATATAAAACAGGGTCTTATTTTTAGGGAAACACGGTACCAACAATAATCTGCCTTGAGATTTTGGTGCAATCCCAAAACAACTGAAGAATCACTTGGACATCATTAGCATTAATAAAATCATCACTAGTCAATTGCAAAAGGCAGCATTACTTGGAACAGCTGACATCCTGTGGAGAGGCCTTTAACACCATCAAACAACATCTGCCTATCCCAGCTCCTTGGGAAAGACTTGATAGGTGAATAAAAATGCCAAATCCAGTCTCAACATCTGGTTGACTGTGCAATGAACCATAATAATGGCAGAATGGATACTTAAAATTCCTGGTTTACAAGTCCATTGTGCTTATAATACATCTGGAAGGTTCATAAAAAGATTTCAGATGTTATATGGAATGCTGAGAGCAGCTGATATGTAATACTACTATACTGTATGAGTAAATATACAACCTGCATGAGAATGTTGCAATTTCAGCAATAGGGAGCTTTCATAGAACACAGAAAATAACTCCACAAATGATTTACTCATTATATAAAGCCCAGATAGACTTCTCTCCCTCCACCAGCCTAGTTTTTAGAAAATGTTGATTTCTTCACATTAATTCATTTAACCTTCAACTCACATTTTGGCTGATCCTAACAAAAGTATTGTCCACCTTCATACATTTGTTTGCTTTGATTGATAATCAGCTATATTAAATTATAGTTAATCAGCATTAGTGGTTCTAGATATAAATGAATAAATCTAATTTTTGCAATGTTGATGATCATTAGTATTTATAGGAAGAAATTCTGTTTGATTTAGATGTTATTCCGCAGCTATCTTTTCTACAATGGAAAAATACATAGAATACACAGAATTCATTTTGAATGCTTGAGGAAAAATACTCCGGAATGCATTTATGTATGTGAACAGTGAATTATATCTCATTGTTAATATATATTTCAGTTCTCGGTGGCATTTTGATTTTAAAAAATATGTAGTGATGTTGTATTTAAAGTAGTTCAAACATGGTAAAAACAATAGAAAAGATTGGTTTTTTTCTGACATGTGGAATAATGTAATCTGATTATAGAATAACAAGGGAAATCATCAAGTACTTCCCTATTGGGGACAGAAAATTCTAATAGTACACTGGAAGTTGCTTCAGTGGTCACTCTTCAGTGCTTGGTTTCACACATTGCATTAAACCAGGGATGTCAAAGTCCAAAGTCCTACGGGCCAGATCCGGCCCTCAGGGTGGTTAGATCTGGGCCGTGAGGCCACCCTGGAAACAGCAAAGGACCAGCTTGCGGTGCCTCTGCCAGGGAAAACGGCAGCCCTCCCGAGCTCTGTTTTTGCTGGCAGAGGATTGCAGGAGGCCATTGCAGCCAAAAACGGAGCTTGGGAGCCCATTTTTGTTGGCAGAGTGCTTGGGCCACTACAGGCGGCCCCGACATGAGTGACATTGAGCTGGCCATGCCCATCCTGGCCACACTGACCCCGGTCCCCCAAGGTCAAACACAGCCCTGATGTGGCCCTCAATGAAATTTAGTTTGACACCCCTGCATTAAATTATAACATGTTCTCTTTTGCTCATGGAGATGTGTGAACACAGTCATTAGCATTCTCAGTAAACTGAGATACCACATCTTGTTCAACAAATGACAATTAAAATTATGATTTAGTTATCTGTGTTAACACTGCAATTGTACTGGTAGGGAATGTTCAGATTGTTATTTCACAGTAAACCTGTTTCTTTCTATGAACATACTTATAGGAATAAACATTTTCTGCATCATTTTAAATAGGAGCAGGGCTGTGGTTCAGTCACTAAGTCGTGTACAACTCTTTGCGACGCCATGGACTGCAGAACACCAGCCCCCCGGTTTTTCACTGTATCCCAGAGTCTGCCCAAACTTATGCCCATTGAATCAATGACACCATCTAGGTCTGGCGTCTCCCACTTATTCAAGATAGTAAAGACTGTTCTGTCCCTGTCTCACACACGCACACCAGCAGTCGACCAAGAGTTTAAAAAAACCAGAAGACAAGAATTTCCTTTGATAACAGAATTGGCAGCAACCCAGTGGCTGCTTGCTAAAAGTTTTTACTTACAAAGGGAGGTTTTTCTCCTCCGTCCGAAACATCAAAGTCCACAAAAGCCAAAGAATAGTCAAGTCCAGTCCAAAAATCAATCCAAGCAGAGCATATAACAAAGTTCCAGAAATGCAGAATGACTTGCTAGCTTTCAGTTTTGTTCATCACAAGGCTTGACTGGCCACCACACCCCCTTTTATCCCCTGTGGGGTGTGGTCCAATGACTCAGCTTAATCTCTGGCACGCCTCTTCCTCTGCTGCGTGCGGTTATCTCCGCAACGCTGTCAGGGGTCCAGCCAAGACTCATCTCCATCGCTGTCCAACTGTGGCTGCTCTGAAGTGCGTGGCCCCTGGCCTATCTCTTGGCCTTCGGAGGACACCTGAGGCATTGCCAGAGAGGAGGGTCCTGGAGAGGGAGGCCTTGCCAACTCCTCTCCTTCACTTTCGGAGTCTTCTCCCTCTGATAAGACAGGCTTGGGGGTCGGAGTCACAACAAAGACTCTCGAAACTTAGAATTTCAAAAGGAACCTTTTATTGAACAGGGGTGATAGCAGGGCAAAAAGAAAGCAGGCTCTGAGGGGTTCTCAGGCCATGCAGTTAGAATAAAGGAATTAGAAACCCCTCCCAACAGTCCAATGTGGCTTCAGCCAATCCGCAGGTGCGACAATGTTATTGTACCGGCTGCTCTGAGAAAATGATAAGGGAACTTTCTCATGGTCATCTTCCGCCGGCTTTTGAGTGATGTAACCCACATGGCCCTCCCTCCCCTTACATTCCCCAAAAGGTGCAAAACATAAATTGCAGGATACAGAATACATAGGAAAGAAAGTAATAAGTAAATAAAATAATTAAAGTTGCCCCCTTCCCCTGAAGAAATGACAGATACAGAGATCTGACACCATCTAACCATCTCATCTTCTGCTGATCTCTTCTCCATTTGCCCTCAGTCTTTCAGAATAACAGGGTCTTTTCCAATGTCCTCTCGTCTCATTTGATGGCCAAAGTATTTCAGCTTCAGCTTCAGGGATCAGGGTATAATGTCTTAAATAATGCCCCAGGAATTTTGTTTAGATGCCAATGACTAAAATATATATAAACCCTTAACTCTTTGTTCTAAAAAAGATGAAATGTTCCAGTAAAGACTTGTAGGTTTTCATTCATGTGGTTTATTGAAGCGAGATCTGACTATGGATAAATATGTGTGTGAGAAAAGAATTACTCTGTTCAAGTAATCAGTTTTGAACAGCCAAAGCAATATTCATAAGCGAAGGTAATTAAAGTTAAAGAAATCTAAGGGTGACTTTAAAGTATTGTCTATTGCTTCTGGATAATTATTAGATTATAAGATCCAAATGCGGGAGAGGGTAATGAGAATAACTGTGAGTCAATTGCACCACTGTAAGTAAAATAAGATTAAAGTATTAATCTTCTCCACGCTCAATTAACTAGAGGATTAAATGCAAAACAAGTCATCAAAATATGGGGATTGATTCTTTCATTGTTTGTTTTTTAGTAGGCAAATAGAATCTTCATTAGTAACTTGCCTAACGTTAGGGGAAACTATTAATCATTTTTACTGCTCTTTGAAAGGGAGCTGAAGGCAGGCTGAACAAGAGATAGCAGCTTATGCTCCATCATACTTCCCACTGTTGTATTTATTAAGCATGTTTGTTTGATTTCAATACAAAAACGTAAGCTGAACTCCCATTCTCATTAAGAATGCAACAGTTAGAATTCTGAACTATCACAGCTCAATTCCAAGCACTAGTTTGGAAAAACATAGTTTATATTGACTCAAGCAGGTTTGAGGCGGGTGGGAACTAGTAAAGGTTGCAGAAGAAGGAGGAGAAGAAAGTAAGAAAACAGATTCAAAATTCCACAAGTACCATAATTTCTTTAGTGAAGTTCCACCCTTGACTAGTTTAAATATAAATCTGCTGAACACGAGAAATATCTCCCACAGCATTGTTAATTCATTTAAAAATAATAGCTTTGCAGTAAGTACTTCTGATTGCAAATAATAGCCACAGTGCACCACAGAATTTAACACTGTTGAGTTCATTACTGAGACTAGATGCAATCCATGTTTTAGTTAGACTAGCCTGCAATAATTTGTATTAGATGAAATGTTAGTTTCAGTTTATTATTTAACTTGAATTTATTCTCAGCCTATGCAGAGGTAAATGCACTTTGCTATTTTTTTTTTTCATTTGGTCTAATGTGAGTCAGACGTTATGTGAAGTGTATTGGCAGTTCTTTGAATAATCATAGATCCTTGGACAATAAATAGATGTTGGACAACAAATAGTCATTGTAGATAGCATAGAGTTTCTCAAAGATTTATTCTTGTAACTGTAGTTTGTCTGTTTATTTGCATCCCATCTTTATTATTTTTACAAATTACTCAAGGTGACAAACATACCCAATATACCTTCCTTCTCCTATTTTCCCTACAACAACCTTGTGAGGTGAGTTGGGCTCAGAGAGAGTGACTGGTCCCAGGTCATCCAGCTGGCTTCCTGTGGATACAGTTTAAAGGAGTAAAATTTAAGTTAGCCCATAAGTTAGCCCATAAGGGTTTACATAAAAATGAAATATCAGACATCCAGATTTGGCGGAATTCTCATTTTGCACTAATTTTTAATGTGTTCTTGCATAGATTTTTAGCAATAAATCAATTTAATTGAATCTTCATGTATGGACCTGGCTTTTCACGCCTGACAGGTTATAAGTTTTAAAGTTCTTCATGGCATGGGATCAGGTTATCTGAGGGACTCCTATGAGTCTGGCATATGACAGAGGGGCCATGCTGTGCCATGGTCTTACATTTGGTGGGTCCCAGGTATCAGGCCTTCTCTGCCATGGCACCCAAATTGTGGAACATTCTCTGAACATTTGGTTAGTTCCATCCCTTTTGATGTTCTGGAAATCCCTCAGGACCTGGTTATGCCACAAGGCCTGGGGGACCCAAGGAACTGGAGACTTGCTTAGATAGCTTCACTACTGAGATGCATGTACTCACCCACTTTCTGCTTGGGATTTGCCTATATTTTTAATTTTAATCATCTCCATGTTAATGCTGATTTTTGTAATTTTAAATAACTCAATTTTTATATTGAGTTTTTATATATGTATTCTTTTATCCTGTTTCCCACAAAATAAGATATCCTCTGATAATAAGCCCAATTGGGCTTTTGAGTGCATGGCAATAAGCGCTTATTTCAGGGTTCAAAAAAATATAAGACAGGGTCTTATTTCAGGGGAAACACGGTACATATGAATATAAAAGAATATTTTATATATGTATTCTTTTTTTTTTTTACTGCCTATTATATGCCACCCAGAATTACATCTTGCAAGATGGGCAACTACCGTGTTTTCCCGAAAATAAGAACCTGTCTTATATGTTTTTGAACCCCAAAATAAGTGCTTGGTCTTGATTTCAGGGATGTGTTATTACTTTGGGGCGCGTGGAGCACGATGGGGCTCCTCTTGCCATCTTTACTGATTTCCAGCTCTGTCTCCCTAATCCTAACCAAAGGAAATGGTGGGGACCGGCTGGCACGCAGTTAAATATTTTCGGGGAGGGCTTATTTTTAGGGAGGGCTTATTTTTAGGGAGGGCTTATTTTAGGGGCAGCTTATTTTTAGCGCATGCGCTCAAAAGCCTGATTGGGCTTATTATCAGGGGATGTCTTATTTTAGGGAAAACAGGGTATATAGATTTTATTAATAAATAAATGAATGAATGAATCATAATGTTTGCTGTTTTGGTTTAAGGTATTATGTGAATCTGACTATAGTAATTTCTGACTTAACATATTTTAAAAACATAGGCAATTGTGTTTTGTCACACCAGATCCCTTGGTTTGGTGCATTGTATAAACTTGTACATTCAGATGATATAGAATGGAATGGTACAGTTTATCTCTAGTGCCAATTTCTATGCTTACAGTTGAAAATCTGTTTAGTAGCTGTATGTGTTTAGAAATACCCATGGAATACTCTCTCCATGCTGTCAGAAGCTCTGGAAAATAGTTCAATAGTTGCCTATTGAACTAAAAAAAGAAAAGGCAGGGATATGTAACCCTGCCTAACTCCTTGCATGTGTTTTTGTGGGTCATGTTATTGGGAACCTAAATTATGGCTGCTAGGAATTGTAATTATCTACCCATTCGTTTGTTTGTTTGTTTGTTTATTCATATCAGCGTTTCTCAACTTTGGAAGCATGAAGATGTGTGGACTTCAACACCCAGAGTTTCCCAGATAGCCATGCAGGCTGGGGAATTCTGGGAGTTGAAGTCCACACATCTCCAAACTGCCAAGGTTGAGAAATGTTGGTTTATATGATTTATATCTCTGCCCATCTCACATAAGTGACTGTGGGTGGCTTACAAGATTAAAACACAGAAAAACGTTCAACAAAAAACTCCCAGTTTAGCCCAAGAATAAACAATAGCCCCACTCACAGAAAAACACATCAATAACAGAACTCATCTATCCACTTGATCCAACTGCCTGAGGAAATAACCAAGGCTTCAATGGCTTGCAAAATGTTCTCTTATTTTATGTCTGCAAAAAAAGGCCATGATCCCACAAAATCAAATCATTTTAATACTATGGGATTTAATGGAAAGTATTTTTTTTCCAAAATATACTGGGGGAGTTAAAGTTTTCTTCATTTTGATTTGGTTGTACTCCCAACTTTTTTTTTTAAAAAAAAGTTGTGTGAATTAATAATAAATATCTAAAACCTCATTTATTTCAATAAGAAGGTTGTCGTCATAGGTTTAAATCAGCATCTCTCAGCCTGGTAGTTTCCATATAGATTGAACTACAACTCTCCAAATTGCCAGATAGAGATTATTAATTTATTGAGTCCATGCAGTCGGTTATTAAATATGCTACTACTTTTCACTAGCCATAAATGCATATACTTTATGTCATCACTATTTAAACTCTGAACGTTTTTTTGTTTATGGAAGGAGCCATCAGAAGTATCTATCTAGTCATTATAGCCTGATAATATATGAATAGTATTGTTTCCATCTATTACATCACAATAAGATAGTTTCAGCCTCGGTTTATGATTCGTGCAATCACGTTGCACGTCAGGGTTTAAAAGCATTTGGCTCTTGCCCCAAAATGACTTCATCTCGCTTTAAATCTCTTTATTTGTTTGTAACAAAGCTATTAACAAGCTGTGCCGGAGCCACAACAGACAAGAGATAAATTACTAAAATAAATTAACAGGTGCTGCAGAATAATTAAACCCGTATTAGGTGCATCTCACTTAACCAAGCTTGCTTTGTAAAGAAGAAGGATTCTTTTTCATTACACCCAGTGACCTGTAATGGTTGCTAATTTATAATCTTATGTTTCCCTGGCAGGGTGATATCCAGCAGATGCTGATCGTTGGTGATCCCAGAGCAGCATATGATTACTGTGAGCACTACAGCCCAGACTGCGATTCTCCTGTGCCCAATGCTCCCCAGGCTCAAGAACCTCAAGTGGATGAAGTAAGCAATGAGTCATTTTTTAAAAAATTAGAAATATACCTACTTTTGCAGATGTGTATATACTTTTGCAGGTATGTTGCATTCATGCTATTATGGAAGACTGACCTGGAGCTAAATGCCTCCCAATCTGAGTGAGAGAGAGAGTGTGAGAAAGTCAAATGTTGCCTCTCTATCCTGTCATACATGCATCTTTAATTTATACACAGACCATATAAGGCTGCTTTTCTGAATAAATTCAAGACCCTCCTTCATTTAAATGGACAGAAATGTAATTTTTATGGGATATTGGAATGCTGGAAATAATAAGGAAACAAGGATACGTTCTCTTAACTGAGGCCAGCTCACTAAAGAGAGAGACTCCCATGTCTGTGAGCAACATTTCCAAATATGATTGAGACACAATACTTCTCAGTGAAATGGAACCATCTCATATAGTAGAAAGAAAAGTTTAGAAGGCACTGGCAAGAGAAAGCTCTTAACTCTCGCCAACGCATTCTTCCTGATTGTAAGCCGACTTCCAGACAATCTCTCTGCCTTCTTTGACATTTTTATAGAGTCTTCCCATAGACATTCATTCATTCGATTCCTGCTCCATTTCTGGATTTTGTCACGGTGTATTAAAAAAAAAAATACTGATTTTTCCCAAAACAGTCCTTGCTTTTCTCCCACTGAGCCCTAAATGTAATCGCCAATCTTACAAAATAAGAACTGAAAAAGATAGAGAAATGCTAGTTGCAAATGCTGTTCCAACTTGACTTTCTATGCTTGTTTAAAAGGCTAACAAATTTGTGGAATAAGGATATGGCTAAGTTTATTAGATGCATGGAGGATTTTGAAAAAATTGCTATCTGATAACCCCATTGATTATAATGTACTAGTTAGATGTTTGATATTATAGTCTTTAACTAGTTTGGAGTTCAGTATATATCCAGTCTGAGTAGGCTTTATATTTAAGGCTAAACAGGCACATTGCTTGCTTTATCTCTGAAGTCATGGGTGGCAGATTTTAGTGAGGGTGGACTTTCCTTCCTTCTTGTCTGTCTGCCTGCCTACTCTGTCCATGAAATCAGATACATCTTATATTTATTTCTACAGTATTTCCCATTAGCCCACAGGACAAAGATGAGAGAAAGGTGAATAGTGTAAAAGATCTTTGCAATGGAAGCAATTAAGATCACAAATACTAAATTTTCTCTTTATCTAAAGATATAATTTTACCCAATCTAAAGTTTCTAAGGATTGAAACTGGGGGTGGGGTTGCATGCAGTGTATGAAATTTTCCAATAACCTATGCTTTTTGTCCATGTAAATCTGGGGTGGGTTTCACTTACCTTTGCTACTGGTTTGCATGCGCAGAGTGTGCGCAGAGCGTATTTGATGAAGTCTGGGCAGGTGGGCGGAGCCTCCTGCCGCCGCTACCGGTTCACTTGAACCGGGGCGAACCGGTAGCAACCCACCACTGATGTGAATACTTATAAGATATTACAGTTGGCCCAAGAAAAATAGAAACATGATCATTTCTTTGTATTCTTGTTTACAGCAATTTTGATTGTGATTAATTGATTTTGCAACCTGTCAATTTTATGAACCTTACTTTTGCGATTTAAACCTTTATTTTGAGATTTAAAAAAATATTTAATGTATATTTAAAATTTATATTTCAAATGTGTTTAAGAAATATTTTTAAACAGGTGTTCAGAGTGACAAGCAATAATATCTTTAGACCACAAAAGAGAAAGAGAATTTGCATTTTCAAATTATGACTTTGATTCATTTTGTACTTGAACATCTCTATGACCTGCTCTCTTTGGACTCCTCAGGAGCCACAAAGAATTGAAATGGTAAAGCTTCTATTTTGTATTTTTGATTATTATATGACTGATGAAAAGTTGGGACTGCTCTAGATTGAATTAGAAGCTTCATTGCGTGTGGTAGGAACCTAATCTTTTGAGCTATTCAACAGTCTGTGCTTAGGATTCAAAATATCTTAAGGATTTGCGGTGATTTGAGTTTGCTAGACAATCTGATGCTACTATTCTGCCCACACTTTCAGGTTTTGTTGCTAACAATTTAGCATCCATACCACGGATTAGGTTTTAGTATCTCAAGGATTTAATAATCCTTTAGTAATATCATTATTATTTATTACATGCCTATTCTCCCTTTCATTAACAAAAATTTCATAATCAATGTAATAAAAATACAATAGAGAAAAAAAAACAATAAAACCAATTTATAAACATAAAAACCATAATTAAGGCAGGGCAGCACTGAGATAGACAGAGAAAAATCATGGAAAGGTTAGGCAAGTGCTTTCCATTCAAATACAATATTTAATGGTTGCTCAGGAAGATCTTCAGAATAAAAGTGGACATCAAGAAAAGAAGATATTTCCCATAAACCTTTATGCAATGGCATTCCCCATCGGAGAATGCCAAACCCCTAAACAGTAGCTAACTAAATACAGGCAAAAGAACTGACAGCAAAATATACGAGGATTAGACTGAGCTCCATTGGAATATCTACGAACTGTTTGTGAGCTTATAAATCAATAGGAACACCATGTGTTGTACTGCTACTACTACTAAGTAGTCCTCAAATTACAACCATTCATTTAGCATCCGTTTGAAGTTGCAGCGGCATTGAAAAAATTAATTACTACTGGTTCTAGCACTTATAACCATTGCAACATCCCCGTGGTCAAGGACTATCTGCATTATAATTTTGAATGCATCTTAAGAGTTGAGGCTATCTCTTCTTCTGAAGGTTATGAAAACTCTCAGTACTGACTTTTGTCAACATTCTCTTTTCATTGTTCAGATACATTAAGCTAAGTCAAGACAAATCATATCACCGTACTCCCAACTTGGGAGTCAGAGATGGGGAAAAAAACGTACATTCTGGCCTTCTCCGAACTAGATTGTCCCTTCTAGTATGTACATATAAGCAAGATTGAAAATGCCTCCTAAACAAAAGGCTTCAGTTCTTTGCTTGGAACATAATCCCACCACTCAATAAATCTCCATACCTTGACTGAAGAAATTGATCTCCAAAGGGAAGTCTGCTTCATTTGTTTTGGCTTGGCCCTAGTTGCAGGGAACATCTGAAAGAAAGCAAACACATGTTTAAATTAAAAGTGTTTTATGGAAGGAAGAACCAAAGGAAGTCTAGCTATATTTTCTAAGGGACTTATTGCACTTTCCCCCCCTTATTAATATACTTTTCCTTTTATCCCAAATCCCGCTGCCTTATTAGAGCTATTTCCCCCTAGAGACATAGTTCATATGAGACACTCTTTTAATATCTGACACAAAGGATGTGCATGAATTAGATATATTATCCTTAGTAAAGATAATAAAACGGTCTAGTTAGGAGAGCATTTCAGTGTATTTCCTGAAAGCAATTACAACAATGTCATCCATAAATATTTCAGTAACCTTTGATTCTTATACAGTCTTTGGGAACTGACCTCTTCTAACCTCAAATTATTTAACGTGATAACAATTTGTGCCTTTGAGTCAAAATACATGCAGCAGTGTAGAAAGGGCCCTTTCTTTCAGAAATGCTTTGGAATTCCTTCACTGGGGCAAATGTGGGGGGATGGGAGAACCTCAACAGTGTTGTCAACAAGTCATTTTAAAGACTAAATGCACTGGATGATGTCATGTACTAATATGCATTAAGACAGGGAAATGCCTTAAAGAGAGAGAGCCCACCTAGAACTAAGGAGAAATTTCCTGACAGTGAGAACAGTTAATTAGTGGAACGACCAGCACTGGAGGTTTTAAAGAAAAGACTGGAAAGACACTTGTCTGAAATGGTATAGGGTCTCCTGCTTGAGCAGGGGGCTGGACTAGATGACCTCCAAGATCCCTTCCAACTCTGTTACTGGGCCGCAGCATGCCAGAAACCAGGCCGCGTATACAAGCGAAGTTCCATCCATAGGATGCAGGCAGCATGCGAAACCATGACCCCTGTGGTCCACAGAAAACCTCTCTTCATTGAACCGGTCCCTAGTGCCCAAAGGTTTGGGGGGCGGGTATGGTATAATGTTTCCTGCTTGAGCAGAGGGTTGGACTAAAAGACCTCCAAGGTCCCTTCCAACTCTATTAATCTGTCTTTGGCCAGACTAGCATCAACCTAATTCAATGAACTCTGTCCAGAGATTGTCAGAATCAGAAATATTTCCAGAAGTCGACAGCATTTAGTTTTTACGGTCTTTAAATAGGATTTCTTCATAGTAAGATATTCTACTCTGAAAGCAATCCCTAAAACAATTGCTTCTTCTTTGGAATTATAGTAATAGCGTCCATTCAAGTTAGGAGGTAGACAAATTATGCAGTGCTTCTCTATGTCCTTCATTACCACCTTTGCCATTTAGTGATACCTTTTATAGTGCCTTTAATAGGACGTGAAAATCAGCCTCCTTTGGATTTGAGATATTTGTTGCATGATTTATTGATGCATGAATCATTCAACATGTTCAAGTACCAACATACATTTACATTTTTAATATAAATAGGAGATCCTAATTGCAACTTGAATTTTTTGAGGTTTGCAACCTTATAAGGATAGACTCTGACCGGGAGCCACCCAGAGGTGGTTGAAAGATGGGCAACTATATAAATGTTTTATATAGCAAGCAAGCAAATAGCCATTTACAGATTGATCAGAGCAATATGGATTAAGAAGATTCTCATTAGAAATCATAATGTTGGAATTGCTTAAAACAAGTATGTATTCATATTAAAACACATTTGCAGTAATTGCTCTCCCCATTTAGGGGGAGGGCAGGGGGTATGTGAATAATTAGTAGATACTGGAAACGGAGCACTCTTTTTTCTTCATCAACTTCCAATAAATGATGGAATGATTGCCAATATGGCCTATTTTAGATAGTTTAATTGATCCATTCATTTATCATTACTTTTCCTCTTTCTTTAGGAAGGATTTAATAAGCTCCTCTCTCAGTATTCCTTCAAACTCAAAAGTTGATTAAATCATCAGAATATAATTTTCTTTTTGAGAATTTTAGAAAAAAAATACACATCCAGTACAAAAACAGATTTCGTTTTCTACTCAGAATATGTCATATAAGTCCGTTTCCTCCTTTTTTTTAGCCATGAGCTGATGCTTCTAGAATGCAGTTAATGAAGAAAACAGTCATTTTCACTGGAGCTGCATAATGATTAAGTTGTATAATACAAATGTGCTTCTCTCGGGTAAAAGGAGGCATGAATTCACAGTGGAAAGATTATATTACCTCAAGCAACGCAAGGATTTATTCATTTCATTCCTGAACTTGTATCAAAACACTCGTCCATATGCAATAATCATTACAAATGGATCTTTACCAGTTGGACCTAACTCTGTTGTAACTTCAGACATTCTACAGAAATAAATGTTTTTTTCCCCTAGACTTTAACTCACTGTGGACATTCTGTCTTTTGAGTTCAATCTAGACCCAGGCTGGGCCTCTAGGGCTTCTTGACTTTTGACAATCTATGATTGTTGTTTTTCAGATCATAGAAATCATTTTCAACCACAATTGCTTCTGTAACAAATGGAATACTTGTCAGTTAGATCAAATTTCCTGTTATTGGTATGTTCAAGGATTTGGGAATGAATGTTTTCTCAGATACCAATCAACCTTGGTGTAAAACTTCTTGATGCTTATTCTAGGTTAATGTAAACAACATTAGGGAAGAAGATATTTGAATCTACCAACAACATTGAATGCTGCTTCATTTTGATCTTTTCATGTAGAAAGCAATAGCAATAATGCTTAAACTTCTATACCACTTCACAGTACTTTACAGCCCTTTCTAAGCGGTTTACAGAGTCAGCATATTGCCCCCAACAATCTGGGTCCTCATTTTATCAACCTCGGAAGGATGGAAGACTTGAGCCGGTGAGACTTGAACTGCCGAACTGCTGGCAGCCGGCAGTCAGCAGAATTAGCCTGCAGTACTGCATTCTAACCATTGCACCATGGCGCAGAAAAGGCACCAAAAAGCAAATAAATAGCAAAAGTCTGTCATTATGAAAGTACCCCTATCTAACTTTGCTAAATCCTTATAGTGCTGATATGGCTGCTTTATTGCCATTTCTTCATTTGATCTTTCCTGCTTGTTCATAATTATTATTCATTGAATGATAATTGATTACTAATTGCATAGGTAACAAGATACTTCTTTCTTATGATTACTATTTATATTACAGTTTTAGATTGAATTTTCCCCAATAACTGTTCCTTCTATGCATTCTGTCACCCCATTCCCTAGGCTTCTCTCCCAAGTTTTCCCCTATGTCTTTTGGGAGAGAAAGATACTTGAGCTAGAGAAGCAGTGGTGGGATTCAGCCAGTTCGCACCACTTGGGAGAACCGGTTGTTAACTTTCTGAACAGTTTAGCAAACTGGTTGTTGGAAGAAATCATTAGGGCAGAGAACCAGTTGTTAAATTACTTTAATCCCACCACTGTAGAGAAGGCATCATTATCTTGATAGAAGCTACACTGTCTAGTTAAAGCAGGGTCCTCAGCTTGGCTGGGGAATTCTGGGAATTGAAATCTGCAAAACTTAAACATGCCAAGGTTGTGAAACACTGAGTTAAGGCATCTGCATAATATACATTCTTGTATCTTTTTTATAACTGCTGACCAAATTGTCTAGAATGAGAGACTCATTAAAGTTTTCATCTACAGCCTCAGTAGAGTTTATTGTTTTTGAAGTTTAGTTCCATTGACTTTTTATGACCAATTAGTGCAGGTTATGATTTGGGAATGGATTTAGAATGAGTTTAATATTTATCATTTCTTAGTAGTTGTGAAAGAAAGAAATAATTATTTTACTTTTGAAAGATAATATTGGTACTATACATATAATTATATTAATGTAGTGACCCTTGAGAATTGTCCTTGAGTTTCTGCATTCACTGAATTAATGCTGGCACAGAGCCACATGGAAATTCATCAGCCTGTTCTCCTTATCCTCCAACATTGGAGAAGGGGGTAGGGGGATACAAATACATATGAAATGTTTTCAGAAACTATTCATAAAAATAACTCAAATAGAAAAGATATATTTTTTTAAAAAAGAATAAACTGCTTATTTGTATGCCTGATGCAATTTGTAATAATTGCGAAGAATGCCATTAAATGTAAGGAATTTAGCCTGAAAGCATTCACTTATAAAAATGCTTGGTTTGCTAAAATTTGAGGGAGTGGGTGCACATAACCAGAATAAATATTTGGAGATGGAGAATAATTTCTTAAGTATATAAGCTAAATTTGTCATAAAAATAAAGTATGCAACCTTTACTGATTAGTATCATGGCAAATAAGTATCCATGAATAATAATATGGCATCAATAAAGAAGGATTGAAATGAGGGGTGCTTGGTGCTCCCTGAGCTTGCTTATTTTCTTGCAGACATTTCATTACCTAAGCTAGGTAACATCTTCATATTGTTGTTGATGTTACCTAGTTTGGGTTATGAAACATCTGCAGTAAATAAGCAAGCTCAGAGAGCACCAAGAGCCTCTCAATAATATGGCATAGTCTGATTTAGTTTCTGTGCTCTAATTTAAATTTCCTATTCTGGGTACCCTCCAGTCAAGTAGATTTCAACTCTGCAATCCCCAGTAATGACCATGCTGGGTAGAATTCTGAAAGTTGAAGTCCACACATCTAGAAGACATCCAGCTGGGAAACTTTATCATCAGACTGGCTTCATTGGGAATATAATTTCATACATGGCATTCCTAAAATACGGTCCAAATACTACAAAGATTCTCCAAAGCACCTGAAGGTAGGACAAGAAGCAATGGATGGGAACTTATCAAAGAGAGATCCGACCTAGAACAAAGGAGAAATTTTCTGACAGTGAGAACGATTAATTAGTGGAATGGCTTGACTGCAGAAGTTGTGGATGCTTCAACATTGGAGGTTTTTAAGAAGAGATTGGACAAACATCTGTCTGAAATAATAGAGTTTACTGCTTGACCAAGGCATTGGACTAAAAGATCTCCAAGGTCTCCTTCAACTTGTTATTCTGTTCTGTTCTGCTCTCCACCTGACTCATCATGATCTTCTAGAACCAATT